CTGGACTGGGCGTTAGCAGCTCAAAAAAATGTTCTACCCTCAATCTACCCATTCCCTATGTGCTTTTCATTCTCCACTGGAGGAATATGAATTTGAGTAAATGCCATGTGACACTGTGGCTGCTGTGGAATTTATTCATTTTTCTCGAGTAGGAGATCAATTAGTAATTACTTAAGGGCAGTCCTTATAGGCCATCTAGGTTGGCCCTTAATTAAGCAACAAGACATGATAGGCCATGTATTTCTGGGCAATTTAGCACATCTCTCAGGGAGTTTTTAAGGCATGAGGCCGAAGGTCAAGTGACTTTAACCACCTGAGAAGTGCAAAAATCCCTTAGAAATGCACTGTCTAGAGTGACTTATTGCTGTTATTAAATGGAATTTGTGAATAAAAATAAGAGAGAGTGTCAGCCTCAGGCATGAGTAGGGCATTATTAACATGGATATGACATTGTTGACAGCTAATCTAAAGCTCCATTTGTGTCCTGTGCTCTAGAGCTATTTCTTCATACTGTGTATTAAAGCAATGAAGATGTATGATGTTCTTCATCCATACTTTTATCAGAACTGCCCAATAAGAATGAGTAACACTGCTTTCGGAACTTTGCATCACATATCAGCTTTTAAATGTTGTACATCTAGTATCTCATTTCTGGATAATAACATAGAATTCTCCTGAAATAGCAAAACTTCTTTACTAAGATGCAAAAGGACAGTCTTCTGACAACCTGAGATCTGCCCTGTGCGTGTTTCCTCCTGGCTCAGCTGCTTCCTTGTGCCTGCTGCTGGGCTTGCTGAGTCTGACTGCACATGGTGCTGGGAGGCTAAAGAAGCGCTCCAGCAGCTGTCTCATTGGCAGAGCTTATTCCAGGACCTTCCTCTTACACAGTTTTGTCTTTTTTTCCTCATCACAACATTAATTTCAGCTTTTTAAAGAGCATACATACTTCCTAAACACCTTGAGTGTGTATGGTGATATTGCCAAAACACTGCTTATTTTCTGGAATTTGGAATAGCAGAAAAGGAGCTGAACATCTGTTGTAAATATTATCTTTCCCCAGAGTGACTGTGAAGATACGTGTGTGTTTTTGCTCTGCTTATTTCTATTGGCTTAATTCATTCATAGGTTTCTTGATGTGTTTGTTATTATCCTTATCCTGAAAGCATGCTCAATCACTTGTTAGGTCTGTTTGATCTATGGTAACACCCATTTTCAAAGACCAGAGTCTTGTTTTAAGAACAGAAGTGGCTGGCTCAGCTCCTGGTCTTACTCTGTTTAGTCAGAATGACTCAGGTTTGCTGTCCTGCAGGATTACAGTGCAGCTGCAGGTGGATCTGAGGAGGTAGTGCCTGGTGGTTCTGATGCTCCCAGCGCAGCTGCTTTTTCCAGGAGGCACTGTAACTATGCAGCATGTGGTGTCCAGTTTTTCTGCACATTCACAAGTTCTGATATGCTATGAAAGTAATGGATTTATGGTGCATACCTCAAATATTTTAAGAGTATGTGAACACATATTTGTGTCTGGGAAATCCTGGGCAGAAATGTGGAAGTACTGATGTGAATTCTCTGCTTGGGCACATAGGAAATGAAGAAGGCAAGTCTAGAGCTCTCTATGTATATGAATAATCTGGGGGAGTTGTAGGATTATAATGCAGAAATATTTTGTAGGTTCAGGAAATACATCTATTGGAGTATCTGAGTTTGTTGTGGTAGTGTTGGTGCAAAGAATGGTAAAACTGTCACAAGAAATTAGAGAGCCTTAAAAGACACTTTGAATAACATCTTTTTTTTAATAGTAGTGGTCCGTAAAGGTGTATTAGATCTTTCCTTTTTTTTTTTTTAAAAAAAAAAAAAAAAAATGAGCTGAGTGCACTGCAGTTTGCCAGAAGTTGCATATACTGCAGTGTGAACTAACCAACCCAAAAGGTGAAGTTGGCTGCACTTGTCTAGTACCAGTGTGCTAAGGGAAAATTTCTTATACATTGGTAATAGCAAGAATTCTGGTATCGTCTAGGCATAGGGCCATCCTATTAACTCTAAGCTAAATAATCCTTTCCAGTGCAACTTTAAAAGCAAGTTTTCCTGACATGACAGTCCTGAAACTGGTGATTTACTGTAAAACAGCGGAGACATTGAGGTACTGTATTAATATTGAACAAGAGACATGCACAAAATAACCTCGTCATGTTTACATACCAATTAAGAACCAACTTCTCCTTTTTGAGCACCTGATAGAACAAGTACTGAAGAACTTAGAAACAAAAACAATCATAAAATGTTGCCATGAGCCAGCAGTGTGCCCTTGTGGCCAAAAAGGCCAATGGCTTACTTGGGGTGCACTAAAAAGAGCGTGTCCAGCAGGTCGAGGGAGGTAATCCTCCCCCTCTACTCTGCCCTGGTAAGACCTCATCTGGAGCACTGTGTCCAGTTCTGGGCTCCCCAGTACAAAAAAGACAGGGATCTCTTGGAAAGAGTCCAGCGGAGGGCCACAAAGATGGTGAAGGGCCTGGAGCATCTCTCCTATGAAGAAAGGCTGAGTGAACTGGGTCTGTTCAGCCTTGAGAAAAGAAGACTGAGAGGGGACCTGATCCAGGTCTATAAATATCTAAGGTGTGGGGGGCAGAATGGCGAGGCCAGACTGTTTTCAGTGGTGAGTGGAGATAGGACAAGGGGAAACGGCTGGAAACTGCAGCATAGGAAGTTCCGCACAAATGTGCGCAAGAACTTCTTTACAGTGAGGTGACGGAGCACTGGAACAGGCTGCCCAGGGAGGTGGTGGAGTCTCCTTCTCTGGAGATGTTCAAGACCTGCCTGGATGCCTACCTGTGCGACCTACTGTAGGGAACCTGCTTTGGCAGGGGGGTTGGACTCGATGATCTCTGGAGGTCCCTTCCAACCCCTACAATTCTGTGATTCTGTGTGATTCTGTGATTCATTCTAGTGAAAAAGAAGCAAGCTAATTAATCTCACGATTTGGATTGTGGTTTGGATTGTGTTGAAGTTGATACTGGGCCACAAGGAATGACTACTGAGTTGTGGTTTGCAATTCAAGGCTTCCCAAACAAAACAAAAAAGTTAGCCTTCATGGTAGGAAACCCATCCACATAAGCCTGTACCTACAGCAACCCTCATCATCACACATAGATGAGGACAGTGTACTAAGACTTGTAGGAACTTCTGCCAGTTGTCTGGATTCAGCATTTACTGACAGTTCTGAACAATTTCAGAAATGATTGAAAGTATGCGGGGGAGGGGGAAGAGGAGTGAAGAAAAGAAGATGAAGTTCAGACCTCCTCATGATTTACTGTGCATTGCCTCCCTGCTGTGTGCTTTCTCTGTTTTAGCTTCAGTACTGCTACCTGACTACCTTGATGCAGACGTTTTCAGGGTCTGCCAAACCTGCATTTGCCCATATCTAATTGGCCACACCTGACTGAAATGCATAAGAACCCTCCTAATGACTGCCTGCTGAGCCAAGCAGAAATACAGAAAATACTACTTTATCTAAATATTTTCTTGAAAAGAGCATGCAGCAACTGCTGAGCACTTGTGCTACACTCCCAGCTGCTGGCTCCCCACCTTGTCTCTTTTGGCACTGGGTGCCAACAGTACCAATGCTCAGGTTAGGCAGCATGGGTGTATCTGGGCAACCTTCTGCTGTTTTTCACATAATAATAGAGCCATCCTCATGAAAGGGATTTATCATAGGTTGTTTTGTAAAAGCAAAAAGTTCTTAATGATCAATGAATTTCATACCATGACACTTACAGTTGTTGCTTTTAGTATGAAACCCTGTGTATATTCTACCCCTTCTAATTTTATCATTCATGCTTTTCAAAAGGAAATTATTGAATTTTGGTTGACAGAGCTATTGAAGAAGAAAAGCAAAATGAATAAATAGAGAAAATCATTACAATGAAGAAAGATACGATGGTCCTGGGTTGAAAGAGGAAAACACTTTTTTTTTTTTTTTTTTTTTTTTTTTTTTTTTTATTAACCTGACCTAGCTGTGGTGTCGCTGTTCATTGCAGGGGAGTTGATCTAAATTGACCTCAGATGTCCCTTCCTACTCTAATATTCTATGAAATGAAGCAATGGGATTGAAAGTGGAATCAAAAGGAATGTAACATAATAGAAAAGCAAGGAGAGGAAGATAACTAGAAAGCAGTGAAAACTAAGTGAAAAACACTAACTCTGACAAAGATCTAGACGTAATAACAAATGATTATTTTACACTTCAGGTACTGTGACACATTTTGAATACTTCAAAGTATTCCAGCTATTTATGCCCTCTAAAATTATGCATTATGCTATCCAAAAAGGTATTTATTAGGAATATCTGCTATTTTGTAGAATTGATACATCTCCTATACCTTAAAACTTTCAGTTGCAATGCACTCAGGCTTGAATAAAGATGATAATAAAAGAGAGAGGTTGAATGCACTCCAACAGTCTTCTGGTTTAATTTCAGTTCTTTAGGAAAGACCTGTTCTACTTTTTTAGAAGACCAGAACTATGTGATGAATAGAACTTTCTGTTCCAGAAGGAAGATGAGGTGAAATGAGCTAAATATCAGTACTCTATATATCTGGGGATACAAAACTTTATTGGGAGTTTAATATAGAGGATTAATTAAGCATATAAAGAAGCAGTTCTATGTAACTGACATATATTTTCCTAAGTGATATAGTAGCACATATAATATAGCATATAAATTTTTGTGAAAGTTTTTCCACTATTGTAATAAACTAAAATATTCTTCCACTTTGTTTTTCTTCTGCTATACTCAGTTCACTGGACACATTTGCATGAGGGTACTTATATTTGACATCAGTACCCATGTGAGCACTGGGATGATGGCTAGCGAGAAAGCACAATGGAAACAAAAGACCACTCACTGTACCTATTTTTTTAATTCATTACTTATTTGAATTAATTTTATGGCAACATTGATAGTTTTTTTTTTTTTTTTTCATTGCATCTGTGCATTACTGTGGGGAGGAAAAAAAAAATCCCACCCAACAATCAAAGACTGTTGTGGCCATGATTTTTTGGTAAGTGATGTGAAAGAGATATGTCTTTGAACTTGTATTTAGCTACAGAGAGTTTACACAGCTTTTAAAGGCTGCTTTCTTTTTTTTAATGACACAGCTCATGCTCCTCAGACTCCAACATGCACCAATTATTTGTACAAACTCTATTTCTCCTTTGAAACACGAGCTGTGTTCAGAAAAGATTTCCTGTCTCTAAAGATGGCTTGTTAAAAGCAAAAGAAATGCAATGAAATTAATTATTTGACACTTCTTTTCCTAATATCTTGCAAAGAGTAATAATATCCATATGTGCTTTAAAATATTTCTAAAAATTTTTCATGGAGTGATGTAGTTTTGTGTTTTAAAAACTATGCATTTTAATGAAGCAATCGTTATCAGTAAAGCAAGGGTCTGCAATTCTTAAGGAGCATTTGGACATCTCAGCCTGTGTTTCGTTTGGAATTTCTGAAGACTTTCCATTGACGTAACATTTACTTTTGAGGTGTGTAATTGGGACTCAGCATGCTTTGAGCTGTACTCTTTGATGTTCACCAGTGCTGTTTAAAGAAATGAGTTAGAACTGGGAATCCAGTATCTGCTAGGGAAATTCTTAAACCCACAGGATGGCTGCCTGTTTTTTCCTTCTTTTTTTGTGTGTGTGTTTTTAGCCTTTTTCTTTAGGATTGCTGAACTGACATAATACAAGCAAGGTCCCAATTAGCTGGATAAGCAAGTCAGGTTTTCTGCTGGGATTAAAAACACTCAATAGAGCCAGGAAACCAGTTGGTTAAATTCATACTCAGAGGAACTGTGGTGTTTTTTTGTTTGGAGACTTTTCTGTTGTTTTGAGAGGAGGGTTTTTTTTTTTTTCCCCTTAACTGAAAAAAAAACCAAAAACAAAAACAAAAAAACCCACCAACTGTCTGATGAGCTATTCATACCTCAGGGAATAACACCACATTATTTTCCTGCTTCTGGTGTATTAGTTTGTCTCTTTAAATTGACATCAGCTGAGGCCACTAAGACCCTCACACCAAAAAAAAACTTGTGACCCCCTGCACTGCCTTCAAGGCTCATTTTATACTTCATGGTTTGCTTGTTTGTTTGTTTGTTTTTTATTTGAGGTGTGGTACTTATTTTGGAGGCTGCTTCACATATTCTGGCAACCTAATCATCTCTGTCCCTTCTGTTTCCCCCTACTGGAGTGCTAGACCCAGCTAGTACAGCTTTTGGACAGTAACTTTTCCTCAGAGCTGGTCTTTCATTACCATAGAAGAAAGCGATGCAGTCCAGAAGCAGTAGATGACAAACATTTCCAGGCTTCTTAGCTGTTTTCATTCTGGGAGCACTTTCTTAGTTTATATTTCTGTACTCAGTTCTTTTGCTTTCTCTCATCCCAGGATTGTCTACCATACAGCTTGGACAATTCTTCCAATAGTAGGCTCCAGGGAACCATCTTTGGGCTTTATCTCACTTACTCAGCTTCTACTCGAGACTACTGTGCATTCTAAGCTTTCCCACAGGATCTACATTCTTCGCCTGCAAAACATGTGCTTTTGCTTCTGCACCAAAATCAATCACAGATCTGGGGCCCCTGAGAGGTATGTCTTCTCCCTTTTCAGGATACTCAGAAAATGATTGGGGGGGGTGGGGGTGGGGTGATTGCAGATGATCACCTTATCCATCTGTTTTACACACGTGTTCTTACAAGGGATGGAGGACCAATACAACAGAAACACACCAGTGAACGTGCCGAGAAGTCTTCCTAGGAGATTCTTCAAGAAGTAAATTTTAAAGAGTGTTGTTTCCCAGCATAGTCATAAATAAAATAGGTAATGGCCATCACTAAGGCAGGGTTGTTGTGGTTGCACTTGACTTGAAAACACAGCTTGACTCGTTAATTTTTCTGTGGTAACTCACCTAATCTGATTGAGATGGTCCTTCCAGTACCATAATGTGTTATTTCAGAATAGGAATCAAAGAAAGCTTACACACTTCTCCATTGAAAGAGTGATATCCTTAGCAGAGTTGCTGTATTGATGAAACAATATAGAAATGTCCAGGTAAGTAGTAAGATACAAGGGAGAAAACTGCACGTTGAATAAATGGACCAAAATACAGTTTCAAGCACTCCTTTCCAGGAGGATGTATGGTGCACACAACAGTGTCCCTGCAGGAGTATGTCTGACAGCAAGACTGACACTTCTTGTAACTACTAGGGCTACTACTGCAGTGTTCAACAAAAGAAACAAAATAGTTACTATAGACCACTAGTCAGTGATGTCCCAGTGCAGAAATTTATGGGAGATCCACTTACGCAGAGGAATAAATTTCAAATCAGGCTACTCTGCTTGGCCTCCTCTGCGTATCAAAATAGTGTTTCAGAAGATGTCTTTCCAGTTTTGCTCTTTCCAGGAAATGACCATTCACAACACCAAGTCATCAAAATAGTCATCAAAAGGAGGGCAGTATGTGGCACTCTTTGCGCTCCTGGTGGTCAGCATAAGGGTTCAGTAAGGTTATTTTTCTGTCATTTGATTTCCATAAGCAAAATGATCCAAGAGTCTTCCAATCTCTCTCAGGAAACTATTATGCAGAAACAGGGCCAGGCAGGAGTGTGTCTGGCAGCAAGATTGACATTTCTTGCAACTACTAGGGCTACTACTGCAGCATCTATTCTCTCCAGATCTACATCTTATCATTTAATTACTTCCATTTTGGAAGCATTTTTGAATCAATGTATGTAGTCTTTAGAGCACTGTGTTGTGTGAGAGCTAATGTTACGTTGGTTCTGTTACACAAGCTGCGTTTACTATAATGTAATAGGTCATATGAGAATAAATGATTCACTGGAGTCTACTGGTGGCAACATGCAGGAAAAGCCCCCTCACCAAATGAAATATGATGACTGTTATGGTTAGGTCTGCAAGGGGTTTCCATCTCCAAATTTTCTAAAAGATTGCAACTTTTGAAAATGTTCCCCACGTTTGGCTGTAGATCTAGCCTGCTCAGCTGGGGATATTTTTGAAAGTTTGAACAAAAACAGTTTAGCTGCTAGCAGGTGAAATGTAAGTTAAAAAAAAAAATATATGCTTGCTGCTTCTTTAAAAGAATGGAGTCTTTGGTATTTAAAAAAAAAAAATAAAAAATCACAGTTGACACGATTCTGGTATGAATGCTGTGTTTGGAAAGGAAATAGTCTTCACCAAAGGGTGTGAACAGTCTCATTCCAAAGGAAATGGTTTTGATTTGTCTGAGGTTTTTAAAAAATGCTCAGGACATGATCTGAAGCCCATTGACGTCAAAGGAAAGATTCATAGTAACTTCAATGGGCTTAGAATCAAGTGTGAATGGAGCATGGGCAGCTGTTTGAAGCTGTTGCATCATTGCAACCCATTTACAATCTGATTCCTAGAATGAGTTTTGACTTGCCCTCCAGTGTTGAGATAGCAATTATAAGTCCAAAAGTAACTACAGGTGGAAAATCACCAGTTAGCTGCTCTGGGTGACTTGGGAGACTTGAAGTTGGGCGGGGAACAAAAGGAGGGATAGTAAGCCAAGAGCAGGAAGCTATGATTCTCCATGAAGGAGAAAGTTTTCCTGAGCTGAGTCTATCTTGTTGGAGAAGGCATAGTATAAGACAGAAAAAATCCTCACCTCATCCTATCGCAATTACTGTTTTTTCAAATTAATTATCTAATCTCTTCACTTTTCTTTAAAATCCGCATACTGTATTGACAGCAAAAATGACCACACTTAACCAGCTGTTGGAAAATATGTGCAAAGTTTCTCTTAAATACATCTTCTCTAACTGATCAAGAAAGAAAAAAGGAATATTTTCATTTATTACCAATCAACTCTTGATGCCTTAAAAACAGCAGTTCTGAATTAATTACTGCTGATGTTGAAGCATAAAATTGATAAAATTCTGTAGTACTGGACAATTGCTCATTTTGCAACCAATAATGACTTGTTAATTTATTTTGATTTCTACTGCTAAAATATTCGTCTGTTGTAAGGATAAAAAAAAGTATCTGCAGCTCTGAGCTATCAAAAGTCACAGTGTGTACATTTCTTACATTATTAGACTTGCCAATCTCATTGTTCAAAGATATACTCCTTGCAAAGCTCACTTTTATAATTTTCTTAATCTTGCATGCTGATTTTATTTTACTTGATACAAATGTAGAATCTCTACAAAGGACCATGATTCTGCACTTTTTCTAGATCAAATATACATATTTTTAAATATTTATATATATATATACACATTTTATTCTGCTGTTGAGCAGATTCTCATGAAGTAAACGTGGTAAAGAAAGAACCCCCAACAGCCAAATTTTCTAAACTGCCCTATTTTGTTTGATTTTAATAATCTCTTAACAACTGACCCGTTTCCTCTAGGGACTAATAATGTCTTACCAAAATGGTTTGGCATGATTTAAAAATTTTTGCTCTTAAACATTCCTTGCTAGTAGCTTCCTCTAAGTGGATGCAGTCTATTGATCTGTGTTGGATTGTGGGCTGAGAGTGATACCATTTGCATGTTGCATTTGTAGATATTCAAAAGGACTACGTACAGTCACATCTTGTGATACAGATATGCAAAATGTAAACAGCACCGTGTAATATACAGTTATTCCAGATCCAATAACCAATTTAAAATTGAAAGTTAATTCATTTCATTAGTCATATCATACTGCCTATGTGGTCATTTGTCAGTGTTGCCATAAAAGATTAATGATTTGATAACTGAAGAGTATTTATTACAGCAGCAATTTGTATTGTTATATTATAAATAAGGATGTGTTGGCATTTCTATAATAAATCCTATTTTCAGTGGTCTATTACTTGGTCATAAAAAATCACCTTGGGCTGTAATAGATCTATTGGATGTACAATAACAATAATACATTAAAAAATGTACGTTTAATCCAGTGAGTAATATGGCCTTGAAAAACCCTTAAATGTGCATTAAATTAATCATGGACATTATTTACATATAGATTAGAATACGTCCTTTGGATACTGTCAGTATTTTCAAACAGAGGTCTAAGGCTCTGATGCTGGTCTTATTTGTGCTGGGCAAATCATACGCAACTTCATTGGTGTCAAGAGAGCTACTCCAGGGAAAAATAATCCCTGATGAAAAATATCTAGAACAAAATCAGCTGCTGGACATAGAATTATTAAAAATTAGTTGTGTAGAACGAGTGCAGGTAAGATGTAAGAAGCTGTCAAGCCTTCTATGTGTGCTGTCAGACTTTAAAAGACCTGTCAATGAATAAAAAGAAAAACTATAATTAGGAAATGACACTTGGCAATTTCTGTTTATCCTTGGCCAGACTGCATCCAGACTGAGAAGCTGTCAGCGACAATGAGGATGTCAGCATCATCCCTTCCTGGGCATGCAGGAAGGAACTGGCCAACAGTGCTTCTTCCTGATGCCCCGTAGGTACGAATCCCAGAGAACTGGATGAAGTGTGGGAAGAAGATGGGCCCACAGAGATGCTGAGCAACATCAACGCGGGTAGTGCACAACATGTGCGTTTTACTTACATGCTGTGGTGCACTGGAGGCATTGTGTCTCTCTAAGGTATAATCCCTTCCAGAGTTCCTCTCAGAGTGGTACAAATCCACATCACCCTTTAATTAACACTGTGCCTAGGAGGCACAACTGAGCCTTGAGTATAGCCACAGGCTTTACATGTACCTTAACTTGCAAACTGCAGATAAAAGTAGTTAATTTAAGTATAAACTGCATTTTTTTTTTTTTAAAGAAAGACCCTGATTTACATGTGGAAGGGAAAGTAATTATGTTTAACAGATGCTCTTAAAGAATATTTGATAATAATTAATCATTCAGATGGAAGACAAAATGAAAAGGAAATTGTGTCACTTTAGAACTGAGGTCAAAGCCTTAACCTCTGCAAGGAAATTTTATCTATTCAATTCCATTTCATTGCTTATACTACATGTATCATTGTAACACTGGAGCATCTTTCCAGCATACTATGTTCAGCAACATGAATACATTCCATCAACTGCTTGTTTCCAACAACTCAACACCCTGCAGTAGTGCAATGCATCCTCCACAGTTGTCTAACCACTGGATTTATTTTTTAATCCAGATTTCATCACATTTTTTTTCTAAAGAAAAACACTTAGGAAGAAAACCCTAAGCAAATCTAATCCTGACATACCTCTCCCCCTCCTTCCACACCATCATGCCAGAGCACTGGGCTTCTATTTATAAGAGGCATTACACCCTCCTACCCATTTTTCTTGACTTTTTCTACAGAGTGCAGAGAAGCAGATGAAGGATGCTCACAAGAAGATCGATGATAAAATATCTTGCTCATAATCACAGACAGACACCAGGATGTAAGTGACATTTTTATGCTATGCCAGTGCATATCATGTGTGTCCATACCAATGATTCAAACAGCATGGTATTTCCACAAGTCTGAAAGCTGTCTGTTAAGTTGTTATTCATTTTGTTTGTCCAACAATTTTTATTCTACGTTTTCGTCTCTTTCATCTAATAGTTACTAGCAAGTTTTAGCTTAAATAGAATTGTGGCCTGAAACACAAAATGTCCTCACTCTGCTATTCAACGTTTTTCATCTTTTAAAAAACACATTTCCAAAGATGAAAATGTCTTTTTGGAGTCCACATCAAAAGAATGTTAGAAGTCATCAAAGAAAGTGAAGAGCAGAGCATGTGCTGTTCTAAGGATGGCTTCAATTCTCTCGAAATTAGGGGCCTGATCCTGCTGTCTCTGATGTCAGTGGGAAAAT